CTGCCTGGGGACCCAGCAGAGCGCAGGGTCCTGTCTTATCCTGTGCGGGCTGGAACCCTCACGCAGCGGGACACGGGCCAGGCGCTGCTTCCCAGTCTCTCAGACGATAGACACCGCGCTGGGCTACGGAAAGGCAGTCCTGTCTGCACACAGCTTCGCGTGGACCAGAGCCTGACCGGCCGGCGCTGCTGGGCAGTCCGCGGACGGAAATCCTCCTTAGGGGGGACAGGCTGGGGTGTCATCCAGGCCGGGGCCTTCGCTGAGGGAGGTCGGAAACCCTGGTGGGACCCTGAGGCCTGCGGCGGCCCCACGACCCCTGCCTGTGGCTGAACGCCGAGTGCCCCTTGGAGCTGAGCCAACGCCTGGCGGCCCTGGGGCTCGGGTGACAGCCCTGGGGCTCGGCTCCTGCGCACCCCCCGGCTGGGAGCCGGGCAGCGTGGCCCCCACCGAGGCAGGAGGAGGCCACTGCCGGCCCTGGGGCGCCGTGTGGAGACCAGCCTGGGGGACGCGCCCGGTGGAGTCGGCCACGCTGGGCCTCGCGGGGCAGCTGCTTTAAAGGCTCGGTCGTCATTCGGGCCTGGAGAGGCCTGGTCGGCCGCCATTGCCTTGGAAAGCCGGCCTGTTACCGACGTTCCAGGCGGGGGCCACGCGGGAGCACAGGGCTGCACAGGGGGCGGAGGGGGGCGTGGGCAGGAGCCTTGGCTGGGCTTCCTGCCAGAGGCACGGGAGAGGCAGGCCGAGCAGGCGGAGGAGTGACTAATGCGAGCTGTTCCGTGGCCGCGGGGCGGAGGCTGGTCCACACAGACACACATAGACACATACACACACAGACACAGACACACACAGACACACACAGAAACACAGACACACACAGATGCACACAGAGACGCACACAGAGACACATACAGAGACGCACACAGAGACACCCCTCACACACACAGCCCTTGCTGCCTGGTGCGCAGCTCGGGGGTCTGGGCGGGTGGCCCCGAGCGTCAGGCCCCGGAGGTTTGCACTGGAGGCTCCACGCAGGGAGCCCTTTCCTGGCTCTGGGAGGGGCGGTCCTCCCGGTCAGCAGGGTCCCCATGATCCCCAAGGACCACAAACATGGACAATGAGAGGCATGATGGACACGCAACCTTCACGCCAGGCACCTGGGCAGACGACTCGGGTGGAGGCTGGCTCTGGGGCACGGGGTGGGGGGCTCGCTGGGCTGGGGTTTCCTCACAGCCACCGGCCAGGTCCTGGCCCCTGCCCCCCTGCCCCACTCGGCGCCCTTTCCTCCGCACCTCCCCGCGCCCACCCTGCAGGGCCAAGGCCACGTGCTCCCACGTCTGCGTCCTCCGGGACCAGGTGGGCCACTGAGCGGGAGTTCAGGGGAGGTGGGTCCCCGGGACCCGCGACCCTCCCTGACCACAACCTGCGCTGACATCCCTGTGGGTGAGCCCGGCTTTGTGAGCGGAGCTCGGGCCTCTGGGGCTCCTGCGTCCTGAAAGGAGGGCGACAGGACACCCTTCGGACGCCCGGTGCCTGGCCACCTTAGTGCTGCTGGGAATCCACGTCCCCACGTTTCAGAGCCTCGTAGGACCGGCACCGCGGTCGCTGGGCCGCCCCTGCCCTTTCATCGCTTTTACTCGGATAAGCGGTGACCGCCTCAGTGCAGTCGCTTCTGTTTGCAAGTTACATAACTTATTATAAATGACGTAAATATTAAATTCAATAGAAAGTATTTGATTTTTTTAAAACAATTAAAAGCCTTTCTATCTGCTCAGGTGGGCACAGCGCGTGCCTGGTCTCGGGGCGGCGTGCTGAGCGCAGCCGCTGCTCCGTGACTAACGCCTCCTCGCCCGGGGCGGCCTCAGGGGAACAGGAAGAGGTCACGTTCCGAGGCCCGGGCCTGGTGACATACAGCCAGTCATCACACAACCTCATGTGTTGCGCATATGGTCCCCACTTC